AGGTGGTATTTCCCTTTCTTCAGCTTCCAAAGGTGCTCTTGAGAAGCCAGCTTTTAGTCTACCTGCTGTTCCTTTGTGAGCAATTTCTCTTTTCTTCCTGGCAGCATTTAGATCTTTGGCATTAGGTAGTTTCCCTCTGATGAAGGTATTGTTCAGGTTTGGTTTTGTTGAGGGGTACTGGGGATTGAACTCAGAGGCACTTGACAACTAAGCCACATCCCCAGCCCTATTTTATATTTTATTTAGAGACTAGGTCTCACTGAGTTGCTTAGCACCTTGCCGTTGCCGAGGCTGGCTTTGAACTCATGATCTTTCTGTTTCAGACTCCCAAGCTGCTGGGATTACAGGCATGCACCACTGCACCTGGCACCCGTGCAGGTTTTTAAAGTGTCCTCCTTGCGATTTGTTATGCTTCATGAAGCTGTGGATTCATGTCTTTCCTATCACAGAAAAGATCTCAGCAATAATTCTTTTGAGTGTTAGTGTCCATTTTTATCTTAGTTATCTCCTGGAATTCTGATTAGGTACACTTGTCTTCTTACTTTATCCTTCATATCTCTTTCTCTCTCTCTCTTTTTTTTTTTTTTTTTTTTTTGTGATACTGGAAATTGCACCCAGGGCCTCACATGTTAGCCAAGCACTCTCCCACTGAGCTATATCCCCAGCCCTTTTTGTTTTATCTCAGACATGTTTCATTGCACCCAGCCACATGTCTTTTTCTTGTTATCTATTCTTTTGTCTCTGTATGATTCTTTCTTGGTAATCCCTTCAGATTTATTTTCTAGTTTCCTAATTCTCTCTTCAGTAGATTAATATCTAATCTTCTCTTTAGGATCAGGTACTATATTTTCTCATTTCCAAAAATTCTATTCTGTCTTAGGACATGTCAGGAAAAATTTGCAAGAAGAAATTGATGCTTTAAAATTCAGACTGAAATCACTTCTTTGGGTGTTAGCAGATTTGAAAGTTTAGTTATAATGCAAATTTTGGGAGCAGTATAAACCTTGAATGTAATGAAAGTTAAACATTTTATAATACTTTAAAAAATATGTTTAACAGGGCCTGGGGGTATAGCTCAGTAGTAGAGTGCTTGTCTGATATTTGTAAGATCATGGGTTCAATCCTTAGCCCCAAAAAAGAAAATTGCTTAATAAACTTAAATATTGTTTAAAATTAAAAGTTTTATTTTGTTCTTTTTTAACCCTACTAGTTATTTTTGAGAGAATTTTATTCATTTCTCATGTTTTGATTCCCTTTGTTAATCTAAAAAAGAAGTCAAATAATCAGAGATTCTCCAAAGAAGAATGACTTTTGGAGGGGGAGAATGATAGAGTGCTCTAAGGGAATACACATACCATAGTAAACCATGGACATACTTGGAGGGATGGAAGTTGGGATAGGGCTGGTAGCTCAATGGTAGAACACTTGTGAAGTTCCTGGGTTTGTTTCCCATGCACTGCAAAAGCAAACACAAAACAAAATAAATCAGGAAGTTGAGGCAAAGGGAAGGTTGTTTTGTTTGTGTGTGTTGGGGGGGGGGGCAGTGCCTCCCTTGTGCTACAGATTGAACCCCAGGTGCCTCCTTCCTGCTAAGCATGTGCTTTACCCCCAGTCTGCTTTTACTCTGGAATATGAGCAAATTCTCTCTTGGAAAAAGATAAGGTCTTGATCCTGGAATGTAAAAACTTAGTTCTGAGAAAGAAAGATTTTATCACCCTTTGAGTGGGAACAGATGGCTTGGGTGGGTAGGTTCCAGGTCTTCCTCCCCTAGAATGCGAAGAGCAAAGGGCTGTAGAAGAAAAGGAAACATCTCAGTTTCCTGCCTCAGCACAACAGGGAGATGTACAGAGAGGACTGTCTATCAGCAACAGTCTGCAGGTGCCCAGGGCAGTAAGAATCTTGGTTCTTGCTTATAATCCTTAGATTCCTGCTTTGAGTCTGGTCCCTGGCAGTTATTCAAAAGGAAGTTTCTTGCTTTCTCAGGCAGTTATTCAAAAGGAGTCTTAAACTGCCCATCACCTTCATGTATTTGGCAGGAGGATTTCTAGATATTTAGTCTATTATATTGCCAAAAATAGAAGCCTCTGTCTTGTTTGGGGCTAAAATACAGTACAACAAGTATATAGAACTTGGAATTAGGGAACCTGGGCTTAAGGTTAGGTTTCTTTACAGCTATAAAGGCTAGTTGTGAGCAAATCATTAATCTCTCATAGTCTCGTAATCTTACTTTGCTCATCTGTTGTAGTGTAGATACTGATAGTACTTATCTCAAAAGGTTCTGAGAATCAGGACCGGGCACCCTGAACACTCACTGCAATGCCTTTTACACAATAGGTCTCAGTGGATGCTGCTCCGTGTATGATTAATGTTGCTCTAGCACTCACTGGATGTAGATATAAATATAGGCACTTTGTTAATAGCAATAATTTCCTCAAACCTTGATGCCTTCCAGGACCATGTCCTTGCTGAGCTCTGGTGGTGACAGGACAAATGCAAGGCCTAAAGAATTAGCTCACTCTGAGATGGGCAAAAGAGTGGGAAAAACCTACGACAACTATATAGCACAGTGTGAGCCCTATTCCAGGAATGACAGTCACCCCAGTGGATGCAGGGCAGGATCAGTCAGTAGAAGACTCTGCATGGAGGAAATGGTACTTTCTCTGGCCCTTTGCTAAATAAGAGCCAGGAAGTTAAGGGGAAAAGGGTACTTGAGAAGAAGGGGCCTGACAAATAAAGGTGAAATAAGCCAATGTCACTGGATTTGTACAAAAGGTAAACAGAAGATGCATTGCCATAGGGGTCCACCAGACTCACTCCTCAACAGGGGAAAGCCCCTCTCCCCAGATGCCCATGGCAGCACTGCTTGGGGCTTGTTCATAGCACTTTTCAGGTGTCTTTTAGGAGACAGGAATTCATTCTGTAAGGAGTTTTTTTCTCTAAATATAGCCATTTCTGCTATATCCCCTTGTAAATGTATTCTGGTTTTAGTGTCCAATCCTATGAATTAAAGATAAGGGCTGACTGTCCCTTTAAAAATATAAATTATTGTCAGGCTCAGTGGCTTATGTCTATAATCCCAGTAACTTGAGGGTGGCTGAGGCAGGAGGATCACAAGTGCAAAGCCAGCCTCAGAAACTTAATGAGGACCAAAGCAACTCAATGAGACCCTGTCTTTAATAAAATATAAAAAAGTGCTGGGGATGTGGCTCAGTGGTTAAGTACCCCTGGATTCAATCCCTGGTAACAAACACACACATACATGTTCACCGCACGCACACGCACGCGCACGTGCACACACACACACACACACATAAATTACTTATTTTACCTATATTTAAGAAGTACAGTAGTACCCCTTTATGCATTAGAGATACATTCCAAGACCCCCCAGTGGATATCTGAAAATTCAGATAGTACTGAACCCTATATACACTATATGTTTTTCTTATCCAAATAGACCTATGATAATTTATAAATTTATTTAATTTATAGATTAGGTACAACAAGTGATTAGTTAACAATCACTAATAATAAAACAGAACAATTACAGTGATACACTATAATAAAAGTTATTTAAAACTCGTGAATAGTTTATTTCTGGAATTTTCTATTTAATATTTTCAGACCTCAGTTGACTATAGGTAACTGAAACCATAGAGAGTAAAACCATGAATAAAAATAGATCATGTAATACATGTTTACTGTAAAAAATATGAAATACAAATGGTAGGAAAAAAATCCTATAAACCCCAACTCGACTATAAACCCCAAAACAACTATTTTTAACATCTTTTTTGAAATTTTTTTTAGAGCTAGGCATGGTGGCATACACCTATAATCCCAGCTGCTCAGAAGGCTGAGGCAGGAGGATCACAAATTCAAAGCCAGCATCAGCAATTTAGGAGGCCCTAAGCAATTTAATGAGACCATGTCTCTAAATAAAATACAAAAAAAGGGGGCTGGGATGTGGCTCAGTGGTTGAATGCCCCTGAGTTTAATCCCCGGTACTAAAAAAAAAAAAAAAAAAAAAAAAAAAAAAAAAAAAAAAAAAGTTGTAGATGGACACAATATCTTTATTTTATTTATTTTTATATGGTGCTGGGAATCCAACCCATTGTCTCATATGTGCTAGGCAAGCACTCTACCACTGAGCTATAACCCCAGCCCTATTTTTAACATCTTGGTAGCAAATTCTTCTTATTTTGTCTGTAAATGTTTTTGTATCCTTTAGATCATACCATAGTGTGATTTTAGATTCTGCATTTCTCAGGTATTAAAAAACGTGTTAGCATTTTCCTGAATGCCTAATATTCTATTGAACTGATTGATCTCTGATTGTTGGATGTGCAGGTTGATTCCAATTCAATATTCATGAACATTTTAAGGCTCTTTTTTTTTTTTTCAGTTGTAAATGGACACAGTACCTTTATCTTATTTATTTATTTTATGTGGTGCTGAGGCTCAAACCCAGTACCTCACACATGCTAGGCAAATGCTGTACCACTGAGCTACAATTCCAGCCCCCATTTTTTTGTTGGGGGGGTACCAGGGATTTAACTCAGGGGAACTTGACCACTGAGCCACATCTCCAGCCCTATTTTGTATTTTATTCTCACTGAGTTGCTTAGCATCTCGCTAAAATTGCTGAGGCTGGCTTTGAACTCCCGATCCTCCTGCTTCCACCTCCAGAGCTGCTGGGATTATAGGTGTGCACCACTGCGCCCAGCCTCCAGCCCCCATTTTAAGGCTCTTGATTCTTATTGTCACCTTGCTTTTCAGAGAGCAATACCAATTTGCACATCTCTAGCACAGGTAAAAGTATAGGTCTAGACTCCAATTTCTCTCCTTTTTACTAGTTTATAAAAGAGGTTTTTCTGGAAGTCCCAACTGATTACAGTGATATGAGATCACTTGTGTAGCTATTGGTATAATTGAAAGAGTTATTGGAATGCCTTGTTATTTTCACTTTTCAGTATGTGTACATTTCCCTTCCTCTTCAGGGAGAGACCAACAGGATTATAGCTTCCCACACGATGAACAAAAACTCATCCAGGTCACACTGCATTTTCACCATCTACATGGAGGTGGGTGCACCTCTGAATAGCTTGGGAAGGGCAGTCAATTCCCCTGGGAACTGTCTGGTCAGATGCTCCTCCCTGGGACCATCAAACTTCTGTTTGGATGTTTTTTGTAGGCACATTCCCGGACCTTATCAGATGAAAAGTATGTTACTTCCAAAATTAACCTGGTGGATCTGGCAGGCTCAGAGAGGCTGGGGAAGTCTGGGGTAAGTGAGAGGAGCAAGAGGTTCCTTTTCAGCCAGACATGGGATCTGTGTCTGGCCCAGTGCCTGTGCATATGGACTGTCCCTCACTGGGATATAAGGGCATGGTCCTGAGCCAGGTGAAGTACAGCACATCCATCTGCTTGCTGGAGGGACAGAATTAGTACAGGTGGAATAGCTGCTACAGAAGGGTAATTCGGCTCCATGGGATTTTTCTGAACCTTAAATGAAATGATAGCCCCTAAATTATTAGCAAGGTGCTTGGCTCAGTAAACACCCCATTTTAATATAGTGTTTCTCTATGTATGAATATAAATATTTACATGAGTGTCTGCACGAGTATTACATTTCGAGTAAATATTCATATGAGTGTATTAACACAAGTATTCACAAGAGTATTCCACATGCGTATTCACATGTCGCTTTGTATTGGTGTTTGTGTGAATGCTCACAAGGTTACTTGCTTGGCTCTCTGTATAAGTATTCCCATGTGCATTTATGTTAGTGCAAATCTTTGAATTATTTATATGAATATTCATGTAAGTATTCATATTTTTTGCGAACATTCACATGAATGTTGTCTTAAGTTCCTGAGTATTACCATTATTAGCCCCAGATGGAATACAACCCCACAACATTGAGGGAAGACCCTGGTTCTGGGAAGGAGGTTTTAGCCTGCCTGTTAACATGCAGTATCACCCCAAACCAGGAGGGCAGCCATTCTTAGTGTGTAGAGGGCAGCCATTCTTAGCCATTCCCTCTCAAGTAGAACTGCCTTTGCTTTGTAGTCTGAGGGTCGAGTTCTGAAGGAAGCCACCTACATCAACAAGTCGCTGTCTTTCCTGGAGCAAGCCATCATTGCCCTTGGGGACCATAAGCGGGACCACATCCCTTTCCGACAGTGCAAGCTCACTCATGCCCTGAAGGACTCCTTAGGTGAGAATGTGATTGGTGCCCAGAAAGGAGGATTTGTGTCCCAGGGAGGGCAGGTCTGGCACATCTCACTGTGGATTTTAGAACTTCTCCCTCACAGGGGCATGAACTTACCCACAGCCCTCTCACCGTGACTTTAGACACACCTGAAAAAGCAGAATCAAACCCTCTTGCATCCAGCACATGCCATTGCGATTCACTTCTCAGAACCTTTACTTAAGATTTTGCCTCTGCTGGGAATACCTTGTCTTTTTCCCTTGTTCCTAAACCAGAATCCTTCATGGTCTCAAAGACCAGGGTGAGGACCTCACCCATCATGTCCTTCCTTCCCCTTGCAGCCTCCTGGGCAGAGCAGTGGGACCTATGTCTTGTCATTCCCATGGTCCTCAGGCCTTTATGTTGGGCCTAAGGACACAGTCACTGTTTTCTGATTGTTAGGTGAGTGATGCCCTGAGTGGAACCCTGGCTCACACCCTCTATCCTGACCCTGTCCCCCTCCTCTGCCCACTGCTGTCTACTGTTCTCTCTTGGCTCCTCTTTTAGGTACATCTGATGGCCTCTTTCTCTCCCTCAGCATTATACAGGCTTAGGTTGTCTTATCTGACTCTTAGTTTGAGCTGATAAAACAAAATACCATAGACTGAGTAATTTAAACAATAAACATATTTCTCATAGTTTTAGAGGCTGGAAGATCAAGGTGCTGGCTTATTTGATTCCTGATGAGGGTCCTCTTCTTGGCTTACAAATGGCCACCTTCTGGCTACATCTTCACACAGAGTGTTCTAATCTCTTTTCTTATAAGAACAATAATCCCGATATAGTAGCCCCACCTCTTCTAAATCTAATTATCTCCCAAAGTCCCTACCTCCAGATACTGTCACACAGGTACTTGGAGATTGGACTTTGAGGATTAGGGCTTCAACATATGAATTTTGTGGAGATACAAACATGCAGTCCATAACAGAACCCCACCAGCCCCAAGGAAGTCTCCTAGCAGAAGATCCACATGATTCATGCCCTTCTGTGTCTTTCTACAGGGGGAAACTGCAATATGGTCCTTGTGACAAACATCTATGGAGAAGCCGCCCAGTTGGAAGAAACGGTACGTAAAGACAGCCACTGCAGGCTGGGGTTGTGGCTCGGTGGTAGAGCACTTGCCTAGCATGTTTTGAGGCACTGGGTTTGATCCTCAGCACCACATATAAATAAATAAAATAAAGGTCCATTGACATCTAAAAAAAAAAAAAAGTCCGTGCAACTAGATTAGAGTCCCTCTTCATGAGTGCCAGAACTGGGTAAGACTGGCTCCTGATTGGCTCAGCTGTCACACTAGCCATAGTCATTATCAAGGATCCCAGGGAGGAGTCTGAGCCAAAATTTCCTTGAGGGGCTCAGGCAGGGATCCAAACACCAAGCACTGAACTGTGTTGAGGAAGAGGACAAGGTGGGAGGCTGGCTAGGCAGGAGAGATTATCAAAGGAGGGAAGGCACATGCCTCCTGTGGGGGCTGCTCCTCTGAATTTGGATTGAGAAGGACAGTTGATTGTTCTTTATGATCACACATATTTGAACATCTTGAAAACACTACAGTGTTCCAGGCTATACTTCTAAGATAGGTATTAAGGCCTGCCATGTACCAGTGGTAAACAGGGATCAGCTTGGTAGAGATGAGTCGTATCACTCTGGCTTTGAGCTTCAGAGTTCCCAGCCCAGGAAGAAAGAAACCATGGCCCTAAGTAATGAGAAAGGCCAAGATGGAGGATCCCTGTAGACGAGTCCAGGGAGGAAAGAAGGGGGACTTTTCCTGAAGCTATTGGCACTGAACTGGCTGGAGTTTAAGGTTTGGTGATAGGATGAGCAGAGGCATTCCTGGCAGAGGTAACAGTGGGACTGAAGGTGTGACCCATGCCGGGAACATCTGGCTCCTGTAGAGGAGGGCTCAGGAAGGAGAGAAAGAAAATTTGCAAGACTGAATGGGACCTGGTCACCAGGCTGAGCACTTGGCTATTTTCCTGTAGGTGGCTGGAGCCATCACAGGGTTTGAGTAGGGAAGAGCTGTGGCCACAGGTATGATTCATGATGATTAACCCAGTGGCATGACCCATGTGAGCATGGGAAGGGAGAGGCTCTTGGGAACCAGAGGCAGAAATAAGGTCCAACACATTGACTCAGGTGAGTTCACACAGTTGGACCCCTCCAGGCTGGGGTTCCTCCTCTCCTTTGAAGAGCCTCTCATCATAAATAAGACAGGTCTGGAAGGCCATCACTAGATACGTTACTCTACAAGTGTGAATATTCAGTTGGATGCTGTGGCACATACCTGTATTTCCAGTGACTAAGGAGGCTGAGGCAGGAGGATCACAAGTTCAAGGCCATCCTGGGCAACTTAGGAAGATCCTATCTCAAAATAAAATGACTAGCAGGTGTAACTCAGTAGTAGAGCACCCCTGGGTTCAATCCTCAGTACAGGGGAAAAAAAAAAGTGTGGATACTTAAGGCAACCCTTTTCATTTAGGTGAAACAGGATGCTATGGGGCAATGCACACCTGCTGGGCCTCCAAGTGGTGTTCATTAGGTACAGTCCTAACTTCCAGGGGGAGTACACCTGCCATGAATCCAGTGCCCTGGGACTTGGGAGGCTGGGGCAAGGAGCTCCAGCTGACGTGCAGGTGCATCCCCAGAGGAAGGCTATAGGAATCTCTTGGTCTCATCTCATAACAAAGCATGGTGAAACCCCAAGGGGAGTCATAAAAAACGGGTCTCTTGGATGCCTCATTAAGAAAGACGTCCTCTGGGCTGGGGTTGGGCTCCGTGGTAGAGCCTGGCATACGTGAAACCTGGGCTCCATTCCCCAGCACCCCACATACATACTCCTGCACATGCTCTCCATGACAGTGGAAGCCCCCTTTCCACAGCACAGGAAGCACCTCTCCTGGTACCTACAGGGCCTAATGCCCCACCAGTCAGGGTCTCTATCCAGGAGAGCCCATAGACCTATAGGGAGGGCCTCAGGTGTTTGGGACAAAGATATATGAGGGTGTGGAAACTAATCATTCTCTTCTACAAATGTTTTAAAACTATAAAATGTTTCTACCAAGCATATTGTGAAGAATTAAATTTAAAATTAGTGTTCATTGTTTTCTCTAATTAGATGACTAACAGTGGATAAATTTGAAATTTAGAAGAAATAATTTTTTAATAACTGTGACCCTTATGTTTAACAAATATTTTGGTATTGCAGATTTGCTTGTCCCAATAGAAGAATAACAAAAGAAGAAACTATGGGAGAAAAATTTTAGGCCATTTTTTTTAATATTTAAATTTTATTGTTTTAAACCATAATTGTTCTCAGAACTTCTTTGGAATTTCTCACATTTTTTGGTCATTTAATTTAAGAATGAGAGCCATAATGTTTTGATTTCTAAAGGCAAATTTAATGCAAAGTGGGTAAGATTAAATCCATAGCAAAGTTTTCTATTTAATAGATTTTTTAAAGCTAATTCTGTCCTAATTGTATTTTGGGGATTAAACAGCAACAAATACTGTAAAAAAAAAATGTTTCTGGCATGGATTGTGTTACTTTGTGCACCGTCATTGTGTGTGTGTATGTGTGTGTGTGTAACCACAGCAATGGAGTCATGACTACACTTGGCTGCTGTGCTTAGAATAGGAGGGTCTGATTTGGCCCTTCACAGAAGCAATACCATCTCTCACAATAGGGACTTCTGAGGGCTGACATTGTATACTTTGCCACTAAGCCTCCCAGGGATTCTACAAGGCAGGGCTCCCTTCACTTTACAAGAAAGAGGGGAGATCTATCTGAGGTCACCCAAGTGGTGAGTGGAAGAGTTCTTAAGTACCAGACCCGACAGCCAAGGAAGAATCCTTTCAGTTCTTCCTTGAGGGACCACTTCCTTGAGGCAACCCATCATCCCCTTTCCAAACCTTCCTTATTTCAAGGCCCCCTTGGCGACAGTCAGCCCAGCATGGGATGAGGCTGGAATCTCCATGTCTGCTTCCTGATGCTTCTGTCTGCTCCTTTCTGCCAAGAAGGAGCACTCCAGCCCTCATCTGACATCGTGCAGTGGGGCATAGCATCTGGGCCATTTCCAAAATACCTGCTCATGTGGCCATCTCATAAGTCTCCTTTCATAATTACCCATGGCTGGCTGCCCCTCCAGAGGGATTCTGGTGGAACCTGGTGGGCTTAGGAGGCATGTGGAGCAGGTTTCTGTTTAGGGTTCACCTTTCACAGTGGTCTCCTTTTGTTCATTTTACAAATATCTCCACCCACTGTTTTCCAAAGACAGAAGCCAACCAGTATACATGCACACACACAGTTTAAACTCTGCTGAGTTAGATTTTTGGCTTTACCACTAAGTAGCATCCCTGTAGTGTATAAACTGAGGACCAGGCTGCATTATGTACTCTCTGTCAACTTCCTGCTCTCCCTATTATATTTCCTATTCCACTGGGGAACACTTTTATTTATTTTTATTTTATTTTATTGGTACCAGGGATTGAACTCAGGGGTGCTTAACCACTGAGCCACATCCCCAGCCCTTTTTTATATTTTATTTAGAGATAGGGTCTCACTGAGTTGCTTAGCACCTCGCTTTTGCTGAGGCTGGCTTTGAACTCCCAATCCTCCTGCCTCAGAGTTGCTGGCATTACAGGTGTGTGCCACTGTGCCCAGCTAACCGTTTTTATTTTTTTATATTATTTTTTGATTCTGGGGATTGAACCCAGGCCCTGGTACATGCTAAGCAGGCATTCTCCTGCTGACCCACAGTCCTACCCCTCAAACACCCTTCCAGCCAAGGTTTCCTGAGGGAAGAGAACCAACACCAGTTGACAAGGTGCCTGAAGAAACAGGAGAGGTCTCTGAGTAAGGCAGCCAGGGTCTCTGAGTAAGGCAGCTTTCTTGGGGTCTCACTTGAGTGGAAAGCCATCTGACATCCATCTGCCTGGTTTGTTTTTCAGTTATCCTCACTGCGATTTGCCAGCAGGATGAAGCTGGTCACCACTGAGCCTGCCATCAACGAAAAGTACAATGCTGAGGTACTAAGGGGCTTGTAGGCTCTTGCCACTGTGGGAAGATGTGGGTGGGTTTGCTTCTGTTTGTGTATCTTTGGCTGAGGCAGGAAACCACACAAGCCTTTAACCAGAAAATGCAAATTAAAATGTTACATCCTCATACTAGCAAAAATTGGAATTTTTCTGATAAGGCAAAATGATTTTTCCTAGACTTTTTTCTCATTTCTAGTCAGAATGAATTTATATAATCATTTGGGGAGCATTTTGACAACATCTGATAAAGCAAAAACACATTTACTGATAATTTGGCTTTCTTTTAAGATGCCTGCAGAATCATAGTTTTTGGAGGCAGGGACCCTAAGCTCATGACAAATCAGTTAAACTTTCCAGGTTTTAAATCCTGAAGAAAAGGACAGTCCCTGGCACTGTAGAACTAACTCATGGTTTGAGGTAGTGGTTCTCAAACTTGCCCAGCCATCAGAATCACCTGGCCAGCCTGTTGAACTGTGGGTTCTGGATCCATTCCCAGAGTTTCTGATTTAGTCTGTCTGGGTTGGGACCTGAGGATTTGCATTTCTAATAAGTTCCCAAGTGATGAAGCTTTTGCTGCTGCTGCTCTGGGGGCTATGCTTTGAGAACCACTGGCATAGTAGTTAAGAACTGGACCCCTGGGCTGGACCGTCCTGGAGAAATAATAGAATTCCACTCTCAAAAGAGATCTTGTGAAGAATCAGTAAATGTGTACAAACTTCTTAGCCCAGTGCTGTCATGGAGAAAAATGTTCCATAAATATTAGCTAGCACTCTCCTGTCAACAGAGTAACAGTGTCACTTCTAATATATAGTCTAGAGATACTCCCAAGAATGGTGCTCACAGTGCTTATTATTATAATGAAAGGTTAGAAACACCATCAGTACCCTTTCTTTTCTTTTTTCTTTCTTTTTTTTTTCTTTTTTGGTACCAAGGATTGAACCTGCTTTACTACTGTAACTATTGAGCCACATCCCCATCTCTCTTTTTATTTTTATTTAGAGACAGGGCCTCAGCAAGTTGCTTAGGGCCTCACAAAGTTGCTGAGGCTGCCCTCAAACTTGCTATCTTCCTGCCTCAGCCTCCCGATTCACTGGGATTATAGGAGTACACCACTGCACCCAGCAATCAGTACCTTTCACAGGAGAGGAACTCAAATGTTATAGAATGAGGAAGCCAGAGCTAGAGTTACCAGCATGAGTAAACATCACGTGAGAAAACAACTTGAGGATTTAAGTGGATCAAATGCCAGCATGTATTATTTACATTAAGTGTAAAAACATGCAGAATGATGTCAGTTATCATCAATGGATATATGTGTGCAATAGAAGAGAAGATGCATGGAAATGAAAGACCACCTGAGGCCAGAGGTTCCCCTGGGGTGGTAGGGGAGTAGACATGAAGTGGGGTATGCAGGGGCTTCACATTTATCTGGAAAACAAACTGGAGCCTCTATAGTACCATACTATCAAAGTTAGATTTGGGGTGGCCACCCAGGTTTCACTGGCATTCTTTCCTGTAGGCTTGATGTTTTCTTTATTTGGTTGCCACCTGCAACCAGTATTTCTAGGTATTTGTAGCACTTTTTTCAGTATCATGCCTGTTTTCCAGGGGTTGGAATAGCTTCTGCAGAATTTCCTTGGCTGGTGGGGCTGGCTGTGAGTTGGGGGATTGGGTTCCTAATCTACTTCTGCCTCCAGCTTTCTGTAATAAACTGCTCAGACTCTCTGAGCCTCAGAATCTTCTTCTGTGAACATGGAGGTTAGACTGATGCTATCTGGTGACCATCCTACTCTGTCAGTCTGTGAATCTCTGAGGTGGTATGAGCCTCAGGCATAAACAGACAACAGAGACAAGCTCAGTGTTTCTGCCAAGAGGAAACAAAAAAGAAAAGAAAAACCCTTAGGTTGCAGTGTAATCAAAATGGAGAAGGTGTCTGTCCTGAAAGTTACCCAGCATCCTGGTGTAGGATTGAAGCAGAACTCTGAATTATTCTATTACATTTGAGATAGAAATGCCTAGGCATCAGGGAACTTATATGAGTTTGTGCCATTTCCAAGGCATTTTTCTTTTTTTAAAAAAATATTTCATTATTTTTTAGTTTTAGGTAGACACAATACCTTTATTTTATTTTTATGTGGTGCTGAGAATCGAACCTAGTTCCTCGCGCATCCCAGGCAAGTGCACTACCACTTGAGCCACATCCCCAGCCCCTCCAAGGCATTTTTCTATCCCCCCAAAAATGTTCCTGGTGTAATAAAGGAGTCGGTCAGCCAGGAAGTGCTGCTAGACCCTGATCTGTGGGGTCTGCTGTTCCTCCCCTGTTTCCAGGAAGTAGAAAAGGCTTTTGTGCCTACCAGGTCTTAGAAGAAACATCTCATGAGTTCTCATAGTGTGAGTCAGATGCTGGTGCCTCATGGGAGTAGATGGCTCATTTCCCCATACCATCTCTGATTGACCCAAGGTGTGCCACACTGAACTGTCATCCAGCTAGAGGTCCCAACAGCTCAGCCAGACGTTCCCTACCTGGGGCATAATGCATTTTCCAGAGCTGGGAAGAGGGCATGGGGATAATTGGGGCTGGCCACCAAGCCTCTCCTCTTGACCACACAGGAAATCCATGCCTGAAAGAGACCTACATGGGACTTCCTAAGGGACTGGGCCAAAGTTTGAACTCTGATCACGTACCTTGAGTCTCAAGTTTTGTGCCAGAATTGTCATAGAGCCACCTTAATGCCAGATGTCTGGTGCCCCTTGCTAGGTGAGGGCACAGTGACTGGTGGACCTCAGTACCCAGATGATCTGGCTGGATGAGGACTATATTAAAAAAGCCAGTGGGGCTGTGAACTGGTCACTAGTCCCAGGATCCAGGTATCAGGGGCTCCCTCCAGTGGCCACTTTGTGACAACAAAAGAAAACCCTGTTCACAGTGAAGGTTCTCAACATCTTTTATGAAAGACATTCAGGTAATATCTATCAAATGATGTAAATGACTTAACAATTCTGCCTCTGGTGTCATTTCTCCACTTGAGCCTAAATCTATGAATGGAGTCTTTACTATTGTGCCAGTACTCTTTGAAGCATTTGGGACACAGAGCTGCATGAACCAAAATAACAATCTCTGCCTGAGCTTACTGTGTTAGTCAGCTTTCCATCACTCTAAGAAAATACCTGAGCTGGGTATTTTCTTAGTGCACAACTGTTAATACCAGCAACTTGGGAGGCTGAGGTAGGAGGATTGCAAGTTTGAGGGCACCCTCAGCAACTTAGCGAGGACCTAAACAACTTAGCAAAATTCATTCTCAAAATAAAAAATAATAAATATCTGCAGATGTAGCTTAGCAGTAGAGCACCCCTAGGTTCAATACCCCAGTACCAAAAATAGAAAAATAAAGAAAGAAAATACCTGAGATAATAAAAAAGAGAAAAGTTTATTTTGGCTTATACTTTTAGAGGTTCCCATCCAGGGTCTATTGGCTCCGTTGCTTTGGGCCTGGGGTGAAACAGCACATTAGGGTGGGAGGGGCATGATGGAGCATTCTCAAATGTCATGGCCAGGAAGCAGGAAAGAAGGCCAAAGGAGCCAGCGTCCTCATATCCCCTCCAATTGCAAGCTCTCAATGACCTGAAGACCTCCTACGAGGCCCTACCTCTTAAAAAGTTCCACCATTTCCCAGTAGCAGCACCCTGGGGACCAAGCCTTTAACACATGGGCCTTTGGGAGATATTTAAGATCCAAACCATAGCACTTAGAGTCCACTGGAAGTAGAAGAAATAGATAATAATAAGCACAATAAATAGGTAAGTTCTAGGACTGGAGAGTGGTGCTCAGTGGTAGAGCACCTGCTTAGCATGTGCAAGACCCTGGATCTGATTCCCAGCATCAAATTAAAAAAATAGAGCTTCATGTCCAATGCAGTAACCCCTACTCATGTGGTATTCCGTAACGTTGAGAAATTCGTTTCTTCAGTCACACTGGCCACATTTCAAGTGTCTAATATACAACACAGAGAACATTTTCATCATTACTGAAGGTTCTGTTAGACAGCACTAGTTGAGAGTATGTTGGAAGATAATATACGCTATGAAAATAGAGTGAGATTTTTTTTTAGAGTAAAATTTTTAAAAACAGTGGTAAGAGGGTTGGGGTTGTAGTTCAGTGGTTGAGCGCTTACCTCGCATGTGTGAAGCACTGGGTTCAATCCACAGCACCACATAAAAAAAAATAAATAGGGCTAGGATTGTGGCTCATTGGTAGAGCACTCGCCTAGTGCTTTTGAGGCCCTGGGTTTGATCCTTAGCACCACATAAAAATAAGTAAATAAAATAAAGGTATAAAAAAATAAAAAACAAAGATATTGTGTTCATCTACAACTAAAAAAAATTTTTAAAAAAGAGTGGTGTGGAGATGGGTAGGAGACTGCAATTTTTAAAAAGTTGACTGGTACATCTAATTGAGAAGCTTTTGAAGAAAGATTTTAAGGAGGTTTTGGAGTGAATCATGGAAATACATGGGAGAAAAGCATCCCTAGGCAGAGGAGTAGGCATGCACAGGCATGAGTACACCAATTTGGTGAGAATAGAGTGGGCCAGGAGAGAGCAGTAGAAAAGGGATAATGGGGGCAGATTACACAGAACTGCACAGATCACTGTTATCTTACAGAAATCTATAAGGACACAGAAATATTAGCACAAAGACATTCTTTTTTTTTTTTAAAGAGAGAGTGAGAGAGGAGAGAGAGAGAATTTTTTTAATATTTATTTTTTAGTTCTCGGCGGACACAACATCTTTGTTGGTATGTGGTGCTGAGGATCGAACCCGGGCCACACGCATGCCAGGCGAGCGCGCTACCGCTTGAGCCACATCCCCAGCCCACAAAGACATTCTTACTGCGGCAAAAAATTGGAAGTGACAGAAGTAATCATTATTAGTATTTTTTGGCGGGAGTGGGTATCAGGGATTGAACTCAGGGGCATTCAACCACTGAGTCATGTCCCCACCCCTAGTTTGTATTTTATTTAGAGACAGGGTCTCATTGAGTTGCTTGGTGCCTTGCAGTTGCTGAGGCTTTGAACTTGCAATCCTCCTGCCTCAGCCTCCCGAGCCACCGGGATTATAGGCGTGCGCCACAGAAGTGATCATTACTGGGGAATGGTAACAGGTTCATGCAGTAGTTGGCAAGGCTAAGGATGCATAGCAAGCATCCTGGAGCCGGTGGGCTGCAGTGAAAGGGCTGTAATGCTGGGTGATTAGGAAAAGCCTGGGGCCCTGGGGAGTCAGGGTGTGAGGTGGAACTGTGGCCTGTGTTCTCTCTGTTCTCAGTTTACTCTGTTGGATAAGGCAAAGGCAAGGGGACCACTAAAGCCTCTCAAACCCTACTCATTCTTGTTGGGAAAGGGTCACCAGCAGGGAAGGAATGGTCTAGAAACTGAGCATAAACCCTGGGGATTGCCAGGATGTCTGGGCACAGAATAAGGAATTGTGTGGAAGAGGGAGGGTGGCTTCTCTGATGATCTACCCTTCTTTTATGTTTCCCTGGCAGCGAATGGTCAAGAACCTGGAGAAGGAGCTAGTATTGCTCAAGCAGGAGCTAGCCATCCATGATAGCCTGGTAAGGGGTTGCAGGCAAAGGATGCTAGAGGGCCTGGGGCCAGGGGCATACAACATATGGGTCAAGCTCAGGGGAAGTGGGACAGATTAGGTGGAGGGGAAGGGGCAGCAGCAGGGGCTATGATGGAGAGGGTAGGGTGAGGTCCTGCCTGAGCTGATGTTCATGGTCCTGAGGGTCTTCAAAGCAGAGGCAACTTATCCCATTTTGTGGTCTACTGAGATTTAGCCAGTAGAACATTCTGGAGCATCAGGCTTCAAGTGCAGTGGTCTTTCCTTCCCTCACCCCATCCATTACCTTTCTCTATCCCAAGCACTTGGCCCTCTGTGAGAACCAGATGGTGAAGCAAATAGGACCAGCTTTGGCATCTAGGGGATGTGCCCAGTCTCCAACTTTGGTTCTCAGAATGACCCCTGCTACTCCTATTTTGGCTCAAGTCCTAACTATTTACCTACCACATGTTCTTCTTCCTTCAAGGCCAACCGCAACATTGTGACCTATGACCCCATGGATGAAATCCAGATTGCTGAGATCAACTCCCAGGTGCGGAGGTACCTGGAAGGGACACTGGACGAGATTGACGTAAGGAGCCCATTTATAGGACACCATGCTCAGTTGGCTTGGGCCTCCCTGTCCTAGGCACACCTGCCATGTGCTCTGATGGCTTTAGAACCTGACACTAAATGGATGTAGTGGGCTGGGAATGTCATGCTGGTCCCCTTCAACCCATCATAGCCTCAGCTTCAGTGTTGAGGGTTTCAAGGCTATGGGGCTCCACAGAGTGTGCTCTTAAACACACAATGTATGGGAGGTGGTCTGTCTCAGGGGTGTAAGCATAGGCCCTGGAGCCAGGCTGCCTGGATGGAATTCCGGCTCAGCTGTCTCCTGCCTAAATGACTGTCAGATACTTCAGTGGGTCCATGTGCATAGTGAGGAGGGAAACTGAGCTGTGATTAACTGAGCTGCTGCCCCTCAGGTGCTTGACAGTGCCTGGTGAAATGAAATTGATAAAGCATGGCAGTAAGACTGGTTGTCTACAAGGAGGACTCCCAGGGCCCATGTTGGAAAGGGCCAAGGAAGAGAAACAGCAGATACACAAGGAAGGGCTCTCGGGGGAAAATACATCCTGTTCTTATAGTGTAGGCCATCAAACCCTCACCAGGGAGCCACATAGGCCCCTACCTTCCCCTGCTCCCCAGCTGTTAGTGTTGGCAGTTTGCAAGAGGCAAAGGGACATCTGAGGGTTGGGCTCTTATGGCTTTCTCAGCAGGGCCATTCTTATATTTTTTTCTTTGTTTATTTGTTTTGTTTTGGTACTGGGTATTGAACCTAGGGATACTTTACCACTGAGCTGCATTCCCAGCCCCTTTTTCATTTTTTATTTTGAAACAGGGTCTCGCTAAGTTGCTGAGGCTGACCTCGACCCTGAGATCTTCCTGCCTCAGCCTGCAGATGTGTACCATTATGCCTGGCAGGGACATTCTCAAACTAGCTTTTGATCAGGGGTAATGCCATAAGCATTAATGCCAGGAGGGAAGCTAGTGACCTTTCTCCAGCCACAGATGTTCCCACACCTAAATGTTTGTTAATGGGGTCCATCTGAAGATGGCAGGCTGAACCTTTTGGAAACAGGAGAGAGTTGATTAAATTTTATTAAAGTTTCTTTCTTAGAAAATGTTTTCAAGAACCAAAGATCTCTGCTTAGATTTTATAGAGATCTTCACTTAAAAAAGTGGTTTTTATAGATTTAGCAAATATTTAGTCTTAAAGCTATTAATCAGATGTTTCTCTGATCTTGAGGAGGGCTTGACTACTACTTTACTGAGAGGCTGTTTGCAGATGACCCATTCTCAAAACAAGATGGTCTGGAGTCAGCTAAGGGATCCAGATTTCTCTGCTAACATAACCACAGCTTAGTCCCTTGGTGTACCCATGATCTAACTTCTGCCTTATTCACTTCCCTCCAGATAATCAACCTCAGACAGATCCAGGAGGTATTCAACCAGTTCCGGGTGGTTCTGAGGTGAGGGACTTCTTTATGCCCCCCCCCCATTCTCATTTCAGGCTACCATTTTCATTTCCTGTGGTCTGGGAACCTGCCTCCAAGAACATCCCCTTCTTTCTCCCATAAGAGGAGCCAGAGCAGTGTTTGGGGATGCCCAGGTCCCAGTTTATTGAGTTCATTATTTAGACAGGAAGTCTTATGGAGTGCTAGCACTAAATGTGTCCAAATCAGGGATCATGAATCTTTCTCATACCCAACCTCAAGAGGCATTTATGGTTTATTTGGGTACAGTTATACCCACAGCCTGAGTAGCTCATACTGGCTGATGTCACAGAAGCTGGTCACATGATTCTGAGGGGCCTGTTCAAGATAGAACCTCTGAGTCAGCATGATCCCCGGTCAGGCTTAAAGCCTTTATTAAGTGTCATCTTGAAGCAGATGCATTTGGTGCAAAGGGTGGCCTGTTCAGGTTTTGGAGCTGGATAATGCTATGTGAATTGTAGAGAGAAGATGAGCCCTTTTGTCTGCTTTGTGCTCTGGCTCATGATGATAGGGGTTACCCTTATCACATACATGGGATTTCATCCAAACAACCTCTAATCCCAGTACTTGGTTCATGCCTGAGCTTATTCAGCATAACCACTATATTCTCTCACTTTTTTTCCCAAGCCAACAGGAACAGGAAGTGGAGGCGGCCTTACGTAGGAAGTACACTCTTATAGACAAGAATGACTTTGCAACAATTTCTGCTGTCCAGAAGGTAAGCACAGTTACCTCTTGCTGAAAGTACTTACCTCCAACTTTCCATCTTCAGTCAAACCTTTACAGAAGCAGCACGTATCGTGTATTAACCCAGAGCTAGGATTGCCACAGAGAAGGTAACACCAGAATATGCAAGAATAAACCACTTTTGCATTGAAAATGGCTTCTATAAATTGGAGATAATTTATAGAAGTGGCTAATAATAAACAAGACCAATTTCTGGAATTAGGTTGGCAATAGGTGTTAAGATCCTCAGGAATGAGCTGGGCATGGTGGCACACATCACAGTGACTCAAGAGGCTGAGGCAGACAGATCTCAAATTTGAGACCAGCCTTAGCAACCTAGTGAAACCCTGTCTTAAAATAAAATCGAAAAAGGACTGGAAATATAGCTCAGTGTTAAAGGTGCCCATGAGTTGTTTCCTAGTACCACAAAAAAAAAAGAAGAAGATCTTCCATCGCCATCTATCCTAGCTAGCGACCTAATGCTGGATTCACAAAATCTGAACTATTCCAATAACTTAAGAAAATGATAAAAAAAAAAAAAGCACACAAACACACAGAAGTACTTTTCAAAATCCATGACATCTCTCCAACCTTAAGGGTCCTTCAAAATCCATGATGTCTCTCCAACCTTAAGGGTCCATGGAAAGAGAGAAAGCCACTGGAATTCTTTATACTTATCTAGGGGACACACAAAGGAAGGTTCCATGGAACAGTCTATCCCCAAAAGGGCAAAGGGGTAGGATAACAAAGGAACAGTGAGTATAACTCAACCCCAGCAGGTGACGACTACTCTTGGAGCCACACCTTGGTAATGCCCAAGTTACTGCAACCTGGCACTACCCTCCCAGACTGAAGGCAATAATTGTTCAGAACCCTGGTGCATCAGGACTTAAAGGTGTCTGCATCCAGGGCAGCTCCCAACAATCCTCAGGGATGGATTAGTCAGTGCTTTGATATGGAAAGTAAACATTCATTAGGGTGGTCAGGGACAGCCCTGTTGAGAACAGACTGGCATCAGCAGCAGCCAAGTCTTGGTTTATGGGGTGAACATACCCATCCCAAGCCTTGGGCCATATACACTTGTGTTGATGAGGGACCCAAACTTTCAGTCTAACCCAGACCCTTTGGCTGACCTTTCTGTTCAGGCAGGGATTATTGATGTTAATGGCCACCTAGTAGGTGAGCCTGATGGACAAGGCTTTGGACTTGGAGTTGCCCCTTTCTCTACCAAACCTGGGAAGAAATCCAAGTCCAAGAAGACAGTCAAAGATCCGCCCAGGTGAGTGCTCTTCCCGCTCTTCTTGCTTAGCACCTGGCCTACTTGGTGGGTAAAAGCTGTGTCTTCCCCTACCCTGGTACCTCAGCTACTGGGCAGTCACAATGGATATTACTACTGTCAATGCTAGTATATCCTTGGGGCTCAGGTTGGGACCAGTTTGGAACCAGCCATAATACAAGTGTCACCTCTAACCTTCACAGCAACCCCGAGAGGTGGAAATTAATGTCTGTTTTACTAGTGAGGAAACTGGGGCTCAAGAGGAGAATTCACTTCCCCATATCATACCATTGTGGAGTAATAAAGTTGGGGAGAGGATCTCAGCCAGCATACAGAGCCCATGCCCTCTGGTACTTCCTGTGGTCCCCCCAGCACCACTTTAACAGAGTGCTTCCACTGTAAAAATCACTAAAGTCTCCAGTTCACCTTTCAGGCAAGACTCGTTTGTAAGTACAAGGTAGGAAAATTGTTTAGGTCCACTTAATATGCTATATCCAGGCTGGGCTGTGTAGCAGGAGACAGGGGTTCAGACTTCAGAGTGATGTCTGGCCTTACCTCCCACTCTGGGCTTCTTAGATCCTAGGAATCACCTTAAATAAGAGGTATGAGAACCCATCTATGTCTCTGTTTCCTCATCCTTAAAATGAGAATAATAAATAATAACATCAAAGTCATTGAGGGCATTGTGAAGATATGTGAGTGAGTATAGTCCATGCACATGGGCCAATGTGGATTGTAGAAAAATATCACATGTAGGACAGGAGTCATGTAGCAGAGGATGCCAATGACCCTGGCCACTACCTGCCCCTTTAGGAGGAGCAATCATGTCCCAGCTTTCTCTGTTCAGTAATTGGTACAATAACATGAATTGGCTTGATTTTCTAAGCAATACTTGTTACAGGAAGAGGAGGAAATCGTGGAGTGAGCCAGGGCCTGCTCTTGCCAGCAGAGTCCTGCTCAGATGTGCTGCTCCTGAAGGGAAGGCACATGAAGTGCCATCACTTGGAGAGGGAGGATGGCTATTTTTCTGGGAGCTGGTATGGGCACTGATGCAGGTGGGAAGCACAGACCAAGGACTGGTCAGAGCTACAGGGCAGACCTGTCCTGATTTGCCATTGGTCCATAGACAGGTCTGATAGGGTTTCTTCCCAGGGCATAGTGGTTTCTGAGAGCTTGCAGTCCGCCCCCCAGGTTCACATGATTTGAAGCCCATGGAGAGTGTGTCAGTCAGCTTTCTGTCACTGAAGCAAAATATCTGAGATAAACACCTTAAACGAGGAGAGACTTATTTTAGCTTAAGGTTTCATTTCATGGTCACTTGGCCCCATTGTTCTGGGCCTGTGGTGAGGCAGAACATCCTGGCAGGGAGCATTGGCAGGACAGAGCTGCTTATATCATGGCTGTTGGGAAGCAAAGAATGAGAGACAGAGGAAGGGCTGGGGATAAATGTAGACCCTGAGATGATGCCTCCAAGGACCTACTCCCTTCTAAGTTTTTAGCACCTCCCAATAGCTCAGTGAATTGTGAATCCATCAATAGATTAATCCTGTGATGAGGTTAGCGCCCTCAAGATCCAATCACCTTCTGAAGGCCCCATCTCTGAGCATTGCTTTGAGGTGCTGGGGATTGAACCCAGGGCCTTGTGCATGCCAGACAAACATGAGCATTGCTATCTTGGGGACAAAGCTTCAACACTTGAGCTTTAGGGGGATATTACAGATCTAAATCATAACAAAGACAACCTGTTCTTCCTAGGTGTGTCCTGCTGGAATTGCTGAGGGATCCTCATTCTGATAAAAGGAGAAAAATGCTCTCCTTCTCTTCCCTGTCTGCATGGCTTAGGATCATACTCTTTGTCCTTGGGACATAATTAGGATAAGAGCTGGCGTGGCAGAATGCCTGCCTAGCATGCACAAGGTCCTGGGCTCTATCCAATGCCAACTCCAAGAAGAAAAAAAAAAAAAAAAAGGAGCTGAGTGAGGTGGATGCCTGGTGGAGTGAGGGCTGAGAAAGGTCACACCTCCATGCCTGAGTTACCTTACTGCCCATGACTGAGCCCTGGGGTTTCTTTGCCTCTTCCTCCAGCTCATCAGCAAGAAAGGAAGGTGCTAGCAGCCCTGTGAGTGGCAAGGACCTAGATATGATTTCTACCTCCAAGACCCAGCTAGTCCCATCCTCTAAGGATGGGGATGTCAAAGATGTGCTTTCGCGGGATCGGGAAACTTCCAGCATTGAGCCCCTTCCCTCAGACTCCCCGAAGGAAGAATCACGCCCACTCAGGTAATCATCTAAAGGACAACTCCTGTACCAGATAAACTCAAATCAGAATGTGATCCTCAATACATAGTGTCTTCAGATAAAAAAAAGAGAAATAAAAGCCAGATGTGGTGGCACATGCCTATAATCCCAGGGGCTGGGGAGACTGAGACAGGAGGATCCTGACTTCAAAGCCAGCCTCAGTAAAAGAGAAGTACTAAGCAACTCAGTGAGACCCTGTCTCTAAATAAAATATAAAACACAAAATAGGACTGGGGATGTGGCTCAGTGGTTGAGTGCCCCTGAATCCAATCCCTGGTACCAAAAAAAAGGGAGGGGGGAGAGAGAGAGAGAAATAAAATAGGGAATACTGGCCCAGACTAGGAGCAAGTCCAGAAAGAAGAAACTTAGGCTGGACACAGTGGTGCACAACTGTAATTCCAGTGACTTGGGAAGCTGAGGCAGGAGGATCTGGGTAAATCCCCAGGACCAAAAAAGAAAGAAAGATTCAACCTCAGGAGTCATCCAAGATACACAATTAAATCATTTCAGACTCTCCATGTAGCAATTATTTAAATAAAGTTAAATATCTTTTACATAAATAATACATTCAAAATACACTAAATGTCAAGGTATAAGAGTATAACTTCTTCCTTTTCCTTCATCCACCTCCTTGGTGAGTCAGTAATTGAGTTTTTAGGAATCTCTTCTAAGGAAATAGAGATATGGATATTCATGCAAAAAAAGTTCATGGCATTATTAATTTAAAAAGCAAAAATAAAATGTGTTTGAAACACCTGCAGTAGGCCACATTAGGGAAGAGACATTAAATTATTTCTGTCTTTGGAGTGTTCAAGGATGTGCATGAAGAACTTTTTCCTCAGCCTATGGCCCATTTCCAAACATTCCAAGAACTTGAAGAATTAGTGAATAGCCACACACTGAGCACTCTCTTAATTCTATAATTAACATCTATATACTTATTTCATCTTGTGTCTGGCCCTCTTTTTTTTTTTTTTGCAGTGCCAAGTAAGATGCCAATATCCATCTATTTCCCCCCCACATCAACATTTCATCTTAAAACTAGAATTCTCAAAGAGTTTTTAATAGTATAAAAGATGCTTTGGTGAAAAAGATGTAAAATTAAATATACTGCATTGGCCTCAGCCATTTTAAAATATATAAAAGAAATCCCAAGAGACATATTGAGGTGTGGTTGCTAATAGGTAGTAAGTGGTTGTGTTGTCTGTTTCTTATCCTTAGTTTCCTTAATTTCTGTGATAGGCATGCACCCTTGTGTGCTGAGTAAAACAAATTAGGGAATGATTGCTACATAGTTTGGCTCCCATCTGGGGAAGGTGGTGCCTAGAACTTTTGCCTCCTGCCCACAGAAGCCACAGGGAATAAATATGGAGTGCCTGGTGCTTCTTAGGTAGCTGCCCAATTTCTTACTTCTCCCTGGCCTCCCCCTTTGACCCCAGGCCTACCACCCCACCCTCCAAACTGATGGCCTTTGAGGACTTTAAGAATGAGCGAGGAAGTGAGATCAACCGCATCTTCAAAGAAAACAAGTCCATCTTGAATGAGCGGAGGAAAAGGGCCAGCGAGACCACACAGCGCATCAATGTCATCAAGCGGGAGATTGACGTGACCAAAGAAGCGCTAAACTTCCAGAAGTCACTACAGGAGAAGCAAGGTAAATGGGATGGGAAAGATGGCAGGGAAGATGGTTGTGGGGTCTTAGAGTTATCCCATGTCAAATGGGGCAACCTTGGGCACTAGAGGACCAGATTAGGGAGGGATAGCAGAGGGCACTAGATTGAGCCTTCACTCTTGGGTCATATGGCTTGGCTCTGGTCAGTTCCTTAGGGACCACAGAGTCTTTCCCTGTTGGCCAGTCTCTATCTAGGCCTTCCATCTGAAAAATGCTGCTGTCCATGAAGAATCTGGCTCTTGGTCCTACAAAGGTGTCCTCAGGATATAGGTAGCTGGTGACCCCTTACAAGGTCCTTGGGCCTTGCTGGGGTCTCTTCACTGTCCTGGGGAGTCAGATTGCATCAAGGATGCTGGTAGGGACCATAGAAAACTGAGGAGGGAAATGAGAATGTGAATGCCAGAGGGCCAAGGAACTCACTGTCAGGAAAACCGTTCCCTATGCTGAACCCCTGACATCTGTGCTGGTTTGGCAGTCTTGTTTCCTAGGGCAGATGACATGTTGCCCAAAAATCAGAGGGTAGAAACCTCTGCATGGAGACAGTGCTTACCTGGTTGCCCTGACTCAGTGCCCTTGTCCCTGCCTATACCCTCACTGTGGCCAAGCTTGATTATGCAGAAGACTCATCTGCAAGCGATTGTCAAGTGTGGATCCCCAGGCCCCCAGCCAGTGTTTCTGTACAGGAGATATAGAGCAGGGTCTAAACCCTGCATGTTAAAGAGGGACCACCCTGACTCTGAGAAGGGGTTCAGAGGCCACCATTACTCACTTTCCTGGCTCCATCTCTTCATCTTCTTATAGCTAAATTACAAACTGGATCCACACCAGTTTTCGTGAGTGATCTCTTAATGTCACATGATTTATTCCTGCAGGCCAGATGAGTCATCTCACCATCAGGGAGTACACTTTACTTATTTATTTCTCAGAGAATAACTTTATTTTCAAAGTCTTGGAGCCAGTCCACTCATACCCCACAGACCAACCGACATGCTATTCCAAAGGGCAGAGTCCTCCAAACACCTGGGAATCTGAAGGAATAGTGCTGGTGACTCCAAACACTCCCTCACATAGAACCTCAGGAAGAGAACATGATGAAGGTCTTACAGGACCAGCAAACATTTCTTTGTTCCCTCTGCTTATACCTTTGAACATACAGCTTCTTATCATATATTTGCACATTTAAAGTAAAATGCCTGCATGCTATACTGACATATCATTTACTCCTAAGTGTACTTTTTAAAAAAAATGTTTTACTTATTTGCTTTTAATTATAGGTGGACACAATACCTTTATTTTATTTTTATATGGTGCTGAGGATCGAACCCAGTGCCCCACACATGCTAGGCGAGCACTCAACCTCTGAGCCACAACTCCAGCCCCTCCTAAGTATACTTTAAAATGGACATTTCAAAGGCTGAAATGAAGAAGAAATAAACAATATTTTAAAATATCTTTTTGGGCTGGGGTGGTAGCTCAGTGGTAGAGCACTTGCTTAGCATATGTGAGGCACTGGGTTTAATTCTCAGCACTGCATATAAATAAATAAAATAAAGGTCCATTGACAACTAAAGATATATTTTTTAAAAATCTTTAAAATTTTTGTATCAAAAAAAGTTATTTTTTCTCTTTCTTCCCCAAAGCAGTTTTACATCCGTTGTTATTAATAAGGAACCTTGTCCAAATGCCTTATGGTACTAGCCAGTGATGAAAGTTCACAAACATCATTTGCGAGAAAAATAAGTATTTGGTTAATAGAAGAACTACTGAATATTTTTAGCCGATGAAGTTTAAATAAGCATGGTGCATGGGCCATATCCTCTGCCCACCCCTTCCTTTCATCCTAAAATGATTTGCCAGCGTTTTTCCTTCTTTCTTGGATACCTGCCCCCACCCCCCTGCCAATGCCAGGTGGATGCCCTCTCATTCCCTGACCTACTCCATCACCCTGCAGGTGAGTATGAGAACAAGGGGCTGATGATCATTGATGAAGAGGAATTCTTGCTGATCCTGAAGCTCAAAGACCTCAAGAAGCAGTATCGAAGCGAGTACCAGGATCTGCGTGACCTCAGGGCTGAGATTCAGTACTGCCAACACCTGGTGGACCAGTGTCGCCACCGCCTGCTCATGGGTGCGCAACTTAGAAGGGTTAGGTAACTGCTCAAGGTTGGGAGGCTCAGTGTAAGATCCCAACCCAAATTCTGAAAATCAGAAGATCTCAGAGCTGCTTGCTGACCCAGGCAGGGCTGGGAGGGGCTTCAGGCATGTGGTTCCCAGGTCCTTGAGGGCTAGAGATGGAGATGAAGACAGGGTGAGACCCTGGAGCAGGAAGTGTATGAAACTGAGTCTGCATTGAGAACAAAATACCTTGTTGCATGCAGCCTTTACCTGCTTCCTCGGGGGCTCCCACACCTCACCTCACAGTGCTATCTTCCACCTCCTCACAGAATTTGATATCTGGTACAATGAGTCCTTTGTCATCCCTGAGGATATGCAGGTAGCACTGAAGCTGGGCAGCAGTATCCGGCCAGGCATGGTGCCTGTCAGCAGGATCGTGTCTCTGGTGAGTACACAGTGTAGGGGCATGGTATGACAATGACCGAACTGGGGAATGGCAGTGTCTGTACTCTCCGTGAATGGCAGTATGCAGGGCTCTATAGCTTCTTTCATGGCTATCCCAGACAGGAGGCAGACAGGTCTCTTCTCAGTTATTGAGGAATGGGGACAGAAAGAAACACCATTCTTTTTTAAAATTTTTTATTTAAAAATATTTTTGTAGTTGTAGATGGACAGAATATATTTGTTTTGTTTATTTTTTGTGTGTGTGTGTGGTGCTAAGGATCAAACCCAGTGCCTCCACGCATGCTAGGCATGTGCTCTGCTATTGAGCTCCAGCTCCAGCCCAGAAACACCATTCTTATTACTGCCCTCTAGGGCGACTCATCCTGCCCAGGTGGCAGTTACAGGGGGGTCTGTGAGGATGCTACAGGGTTGTGAGATTCCTGGGTGGGGCTTTCAAACCCAGAAAGGGGACTCTCTTGATACCTACCACAGGCCCTGCCAGGGATGATTCTGACAATGCCAGGCTGAAGGGACTCTACTATATTGGGCCTCCTCCAGGGAGAAGATGACCAGGACAAATTTGCTCAGCTTCAGCAGACAGTGCTACCTGAGGGACCTGATGCCATCTCCTTCTACAATGCCAAAATCAAGACAGAACAGAAGGTAACTTGTCTGTAGGAAGGGTGGGGGGTCTTCAGGGACCTCATTACTTGGGCACCCAAAATCACACTTCCTACTTTAGAGCTTCAGGAGAGGAATGGTGCCTACCCAGAGAGATCAGAGTTGCTCTCAGTCAAGAGTGTCTTTTGAAGCTAAAGACAGGGACAGGGACAGGGCTAGACCAAAGAAGGGTCACACAGACCATTGCCAGACCTGGACATGGCTGAGCCATCCTGTGGGTGGTTCACAACTGAAGACAAGATCCAGAGATCCCCTGAGGCCACTCCCCTGAAGACCTCTCCAAGGGCAGGCCACTTTGTGCAAGTGGCAGAGGACAGAAGATCACACTCAGCCAACGCACAGATAGACATGGTCTCAGCCTTAGGTTGGGCCTGTGACTCTTCTTCCTGAGCAGGTTGGGCTGGAGCAGAGGATCTCCACTCTGCCAAGGCCCAGCCTCAAGCCAGAATGCCATGTACCCTTCTATGTCCAGAGGCAATTTGTATACATTGTGGCAGATGCACATGGGATCCCTACCCAAATGAGCACATTCTTTATATTTTTAAAAACCAGGAGGCTGATCACTTGAGCCCAGGGATTCAAGGTCTGCATGGTCAACATAGCAAGACCCTGTCACAAACAACAACAACAACAAAAAAAAAACAATATTTTTTTGTAGTTATTTATTTACGTTTTAATAGGTGATTCATTTGGGTGTTTTAAACTTTAAAAAAGCATAGGTGGGGGGTTGAGATTGTGGCTCAGTGGTAGAGCACTTGCCTCTCACACGTGAGGACTAGATTCAATTCTCAGCACCACATAAAAATAAATAAGATAAAGATATTCTGTCTGTCTACAACTAAAAAAAAAAAAAAAGCATGAGTTGGAGTAGCTGGGCGCAGAGGCACATGCCTGTAATCCCAGCATTTTGGGTGTCTGAGACAGGAAGATCAAGAGGTCAAAACCAGTCTCAGCAAAAGCGAGGCTCTAAGCAACTCAGTGAGACCCTGTCTCTAAATAAAATACAAAATGGGGCTGGGGATGTGGCTCAGTGGGTAAGCACTCCTGAGTTCAATCCCCGGTACCGAAAATGAAAAAAAAGCATGGGGGTGCAGCTCAGTGGTAGAAAACTTGCCTGGAAGTGCAAGGATGTGGGTTCAATTCCTAGCCCTGCAAAAAAAAAAAAATAATAATAATAATAATAAAAATAATAATAGTAATAATTTTTAGCTGGATGTAGTGGTACATGCCAGCTACTTGGGAGACTAAGGAAGGAGGATCCCAAGTTTCGGGCCACCTTGGCAACTTAGTGAGACCCTGTCTCAAAATAAAAATAAATGTGAATGAGTGGTTAAGCACCCCTGGGTTTAAAAAATTTAAAAAATAAAAAATAATAATTAAAATAAAATAAAAACAGAAAGGGCCTGGAGTAGCTCAGTGGTAAGGCATTTGCCTAGCATGCATAAGTTCAATCCCCAGTACTGGAAAACAAACAAACAAAAACATGAAAATATAAGCACATCTTTTAAACTCCCATTGACTCTCTGACAGGAGAAACTTGCTTTTCCTATTTAGCAATACATTCTAAAGATCATTCCATGTCAACCTATGAGGATGTATCAAATATTTTCTTTTAGTACTGGGATTTAATCCATGGGCATTCTACCACTGAGCTACATCTCCAATCCTTTTTATTTTTTGTTCAGACACAGTGTCTTACTGAGTTGCTGAGATTGGCCTTGAGCTTGCTGAGTCTGGCCTCAGCCTCTAAGTGACTGGGATTACAGGCATGTGCCACCGCGGCCAGCCTCAAAAGGTTTAACCCAACTAATATTAATGAACATTTAAGAGTTTACAGTTCTTTTTCTTTAATTATTTTTTTTTCACTTTGTGGTGCTGGCAATTAAACCCAGGCCCTCTTTTTATTTTGTTTGTGATACTCTTTACTAATACAAGTATAGCTGAGCTCTTACAAATGTGGGTTTACACATATGTGTGACTATACATGAAAAGCAATTTTGTAGAAGTGAATTTCTTGGTTAAAAGTTCATTTGTATTTTTGATGGGTCTGCCAAATTGCCTGCCTAGAGTTAAACCCATCTGTACCCTTACATCAGCCTATAGGATGCTCACAATAAATGGTATACCATTTTTGTATTGTTTTCCAATCTGAAGGGTGAAAAATTTTCTCAATGTTGCTTTGTGTTTCTCTTACTATAAGCGAATCTCTTTTAATGTTGAAGCACCATTTTAATTTAAAAAAATTTTTTTCTTGCAAACTGATCAAATTTTTGCTTGTTTTTCTTTTATTTATTTATTTTTTGCAATACTGGGGATTGAACTCAGGGCTTCACACATGCTAGTAAGCACTCTACCACTAAGCTACATCCCCAGCCCCTTTTGCTTGTTTTTCTATTGGTTGTAAGGTTTCTATTTATTCTTTTTTTAAAAGCATGATAGTTATACACAGTATTTGGGTTTATTTTGACAAAATCATACCTGTATGGATTTTGATTATTGCATTCTAATTCCCATTCCCTGACCTTTCCCTCCCTTTTTCCCTCCTCCTTGTTTCCTTCCTCTACTTTACTGATCTTCCTTTAATCTTTAAGGTTTTAGAGTATTGGGGATTACACTCAGGGGCACCTGACCACTAAGTCACATCCCCAGCCCTATAGTTGTTTAGCGCCTCACTTTTGCTGAGGCTGGCTTTGAAGCTGTGATCCTCCTGCCTCAGCTTCCCAAGATGTTGGGATTACAAGCTTATGCCACCGTGCCAAGCTGTTTAGTTATTTTTTCTTTTTTTTAGAGAGAGAGAGAGAGAGAATTTTAATATTTAGTTTTTAGTTTTCGGTGGACATCTTTGTTTGTATGTGGTGCTAAGGATCGAACCCGGGCCACACGCATGCAAGGCAAGCACGCTACTGCTTGAGCCACATCCCCAGACCCCTGTTTAGTTATTTTTGATCGGTGCTTTCTACATATACATAAAGGTGGAATTACTGTGGTATATTTATATATGTAAATAACATGATTTTTGTTAAATCCATTCTGTATTTTCTCCTTTCCTGTCCCTCCTCCCTCCATATGTCTTCCTATAACTTTACTGATATTCCCTATATTGTTATGATATCTGATCCCACTCCCTCCTTCTTTTTTCCCTTATTTTACTCTAGCTTCCACATAGGAGAGAAACATTTAACCCTTGATTTTCTGACTCTAGCTTATTTCACTTAGAATGACATTCTTCATTTCCATCCATTTACCAGCAGATGCTATAAACTTTATTCTTTTATTTCTTAATTGTAGGAATTTGTTATATATTAGTTATAATTTTTGTATGAATTGCAACTACTTTTTTCTATTTGTTGTTTGTCTTTTGACTTTACTTTTTTGTTATTTTTTTTATTGATTTTATTACATTGAGCATCTTATTTGAGCTGCCATAAAAAAATATATTACACTGGGTAATTTATAAAAAAGCCAGAAATTGTTCACAGATCTTAGGCCAAGAAGCCCAAGATCAAGGGTTCAGCAGTCTTGGGCTGAGGATGTGGCTCAAGCGGTAGCGCGCTCGCCTGGCATGCGTGCGGCCCCAGGTTCGATCCTCAGCACCACATACCAACAAAAATGTTGTGTCCGCCGAGAACTAAAAAATAAATATTAAAAATTCTCTCTCTCTCTCTCTCTTCTCTCACTCTCTCTCTAAAAAAAAAAAGGGTTCAGCAGTCTAAGTGTCTGGTGAGGGCTCTCTGCTTAAAGATGGCACCTTCTAGTGTGTGGCAATTTACATGGTAGAAAGGCAAAGGTCTAACAAACTCTCTCAGACCTCTTAAAAGGGCACTAATCCCATCCATAAGATCAGAGTCTCCATGACTTAATCCCCTCCCAAAGGCTTCACCTCTTAATACCATCACCATGGTAGTTATATTTCAACACATGAGTTTTGGAGTGACACCAACATTCAGCTCATAGCACAAATTTTGTCTTTCTTAGCTTCTGGATTTGGTAGCTTGACTAGAAAGCCCTTCCTCCAATTGAGTTCATTCTTTCCATTTAGGTGACATCTTCACTGATGACTATGAGGAGCTGAAGCCCATTCAAAGAGGATTGAGTAAATGGGGGTTGTTATATGAAGGTCCCCCAGAGCTGTAATTCTCATCCTAGGTCATATACACAAATCACAGGGATCTTGTTAGGATGCAGGTTCTGATATACTAAGTCTAGAATGGGACTTGAAATTCTGCATTTCTAATAAATTCTCAGATAATGCCCAGGATGCTAGACTAGGGCCATACTTTGAGTAGCATTCTTAGAGGGTCTGTCTTAGGATCTGCCTTTATTAGGTTGCAGATGTTCTCTTCTGTTCTTAGTTCATTGAGTATTTTTTTTCATCATGATGGGATATTGGGGTTACATTTTTTTGCATACTACCTTCTTTTTCTCTCCATTAGATATATTTTAGACATTCTCTTTCTGTCCTCTCTCTCTTAAAAATCTCTCTTGTTTCTTCTAGCTCCTCATCTCTCTATGCTGTAATCGGGTAACTTCTTTAGATTCCTGTTCCAGTTTATTAATACCCTTCTCAGCTGTGTCTAATCAGCTATGTCTAAAAATTCTATTTGATTCTCCTTCAAATATGCTTGGTCATGTGTTATAAACTTATTTCTTTTTTTAAAATTCTTTTTTTTTTTTTTGTAGTTGTAGATGGACGGAATGCCTTTATTTATTTATTTTTTATGTGGTTCTAAGGATCAAACCCAGTGCCTCACACATGCCAGGCAAGTGCTCTGCCAGTGAAGCTATGGCCCCAGCCCACACCTTATTTCTTGCTCTTTAAAAATAATAACTTTTTTGGGGCTGGGGATGTGGCTCAAGCGGTAGCGCGCTCGCCTGGCATGCGTGCAGCCCGGGTTCGATCCTCAGCACCACATACCAACAAAGATGTTGTGTCCACCGAGAACTAAAAAATAAATATTAAAAATTCTCTCTCTTTCTCTCTCTCCTCTCTCACTCTCTCTTTAAAAATAATAACTTTTTTGATATATAATACCATATATTTCACCCTCAAAATTGTACAACTCAGTAGTTTTTAGTATCTTCACAAATATGTGCAACCACAATGAATTTCAGAACATGTCAAGCACTGCTTTTTCTTAACTCATAAATGTTTCAGTGTTCATGTCTTAAAACAAGGACATTCTCTTAAATTATAATGATGTAATAATCAAAATCAGGAAAATAAACAGTAAAGCAATAATATTATTTAGTCCAAAACTCATACTCAACTTTTTTGTGATATTGGAGGTTGAACCCAGAGCTTCACACATGTGAGGCAGACGCTCTCTACCTCTGAGTTATACCCCCAACCCTTTTATTTTGAGATAGACAACTTAGAACCCTACTACCACAGCTTCCCAAGTAGCCGGGACTACAGATATATTTCACCACACTTGGCTATTTTTAATTTTTGACTATTCCAAAAATGTCCTTGACAACTATTCTCCCCTCTTCCTTTGGTCCAAGATCCAATCTAAGATTACATATTACATTTTGTTGCAATGTCTTCTCAAATCTAGAACAATTCCCCAGTCTTTCCTTCTATTTCATTATCTTGATATTTTTGAAAAATACAGTCAAGTGTTTGGTAAAATGTATCTCAACTTCAGTTATGTACTTTCAGCAAGTGTTAACAAAAATTATGTTTTTCTTGGTATATTGTATCAGGAGGCACATGAATTTGCTTTGTTCCATGACTTACTATTTTAGAATCTGCATCCTAACAAGACCCCTGTTATTTGTGTATATGACATAGGATATCCTGAGAATTGCAGCTCTGGGGGACCTTCATAACAACCCCCATTTACTCAATCCTCTTTGAGCTTCAGTTCCTCATAGTCATAAGTGAAGATGTCACCTTAATGGAGAGAATGAACTCAATTGGAGGAAGGGCTTTCTAGTCAAGCTACCAAATCCAGAAGCTAAGACAAAATTTGTGCTATGAGCTGAATGTTGGTGTCACTCCAAAATTCATGTATTGAAATATAACTACCATGATGATGGTATTAAGAGGTGAAGCCTTTGGGAGGGGATTAAGTTATGGTGACTAATTTTGGTCAACTGGTTGAGGTCATCCTGAATATATAAGAGGATAATATATCAATGACTTTGGAGAAAGAGCTTCAAAAATTTTATTGCTTTATGTAAATTAACTTTCTTTAACTAGCATAAGTTATTTCAAGATCATAGAAAATATGAATAAAAACAATTTGCATGATTACCATCATGAGTTTCTCTCTTGATATCGTAGATAAATTTTGCATTTTTCTTTCTTTTTTTTTTGGTGGGGAGGGGACACTTTTATGTTTGTTTGTTTTGGGTACTGGCGATTTAACTGAGGCGTTCTACCACTAAGCTACATCCCCAGCTCTTTTTAAAATTTCTTTCTTTCCTTCTTTCTTTCTCGTCTTGTCTGTCTCGTCTCTTTTCTTTTCTTTTCTTACTAGGGATTGAACTCAGGAGCACTCAACCACTGAGCCACATCCCCAGCCCTATTTTGTATTTTATTTAGAGACAGGGTCTCACTGAGTTGTTTAGCGCCTCACCGTTGCTGAGGCTGGCTTTGAACTTGTAATCCTCCTGCTTCAGCCTCTCAAGTCACTGGTATTATAGGTATGAGCCACCACACCTTGCTCATTTTTTATTTTGAGGCAGGGTCTTGCTAAGTTGCTGAAGCTGGCTTTGAACTTTTGATCCTCTGCCTCAGCCTCCTGAGTTGCTGGGATTACAGGAATGCACCACCATGCCCAGCTCAAACATTGCTCTTTTATTATTTTCTTTCAAACCTTCAAAAAAAATTTAAATTCTAAATCATTAAATAGAGGAACCATGTGTTTCTACAGGTCAAACTTCTATTCCTCTATTTCTAGGAGAACTCTTTGTATTGGCCATTTTTATATAACTGAACCAGTTATACTGTGTATATATATAGTAGTTATATGTATAGTTATGTAGTAAATATAGCTATATAGTAACTATAGTTATATAGTTTTATATATATAGTAACTATACTATAGTTACACTATATATATAGTATATATAGTAACTATAACATAGTTAAATATACACAGTATTATAATTATAGTTACTATGTTTATAGTTACTATATATTGTTTTATTTTTATTTTTATTTTTAGAGAGAGAATTTTTAATATTTATTTTTTAGTTCTCGGCAGACACAACATTTTTGTTTGTATGTGGTGCTGAGGATCGAGCCCGGGCCACACGCATGCCAGACGAGCGCGCTACCGCTTGAGCCACATCCCCAGCCCTATAGTTACTATATATGACTATATAGAGTTACTATAAGTAACTATAGCTACTATATATATAGTTATAGTTACTATATATAGTTAATTACTATATAATAACTCCATATATAGTATAGTAACTCTATGTAGTGTATAGTTACACTATATATATGTGTGTGTGTATATATTCAACATACACACACATACACATGAGATCAGATTTTTTTCAGGATCAAAATTTGTTTCCTGTTTTACTGAGTTTCTTCCATAATTGTGTGTGTGTGTGTGTTTAAATCTTGAGTTCATTGCAAGTTCAAGGCCAGTCTCAGCACCTTAATGAGACCCTAAGCAATTATGTGAGACTCTGTCTCAAAATAAAAAAATCAAAAGGGATATAGCTCAGTGGTAAGATGCCCCTGGATTTATCACCAGTACCAATAAACAAACAAACACATAAATAAATAAATCCCCAGTACCAATAAATAAGTAATAAATCATGAGTTAATGTTTTATTGAACTTAAGCTCTAGGAGTCCAGAGCACATATGTCGAAATTCTGAAAGGGTTTGTTCTTGTTTCTTGCGATTAGCAAGGGAGCATCACCAGCCCAGGACATTTTAACCCCATCAAGAATCTAGCATTGTGGGTTCATTCTTCTGCCTTGTGCAGGAACTTAGGATTTGGCTCCATATTCCAAGCTGGTTTTAACATGTACTTACTAACTGCCCACTCTTTCTGTTTCAGCTCATTTTTCCCACCTGCTTTCTAAAAGCAGAGCAATGCAATAAAAGAGTAGAATATGTGAACATTTATGTGATTGCAGTTATAGAGGGAAGGCCTTTCAGAGTTCCTTGACTTTGACTCCTCTAGAGACAGAATCCTCTTTTCCTTTTGAACCATTCTGTTAAAAAAAAACTTTCAAATAGGTCCCTGAAACTTTGTATCAGGGATTGAATTCAGGGGCACTCAACCACTGAGCCACATTCCCAGCCCTGTTTTGTATTTTATTTAGAGACAGGCTTTCACTGAGTTTGCTTAGCAAGCCTTGTCATTGCTGAGGCTGGTTTTGAACTCTCGATCCTCCTACCTCAGCCTTCCGAGCCGCTGGGATTATAGGCATGCACCATCGTACCCAGCACCTGCAGATCATTTTTTTTTTAGTTGTAGTTGGACACAACACCTTTATTTCACTTATTTATTTTTGTATGTGGTGCTGAGGATTGAACCCAGGGTCTCGCACGTGCAAGGCGAGCACTCTACCGCTGAGCCACAACCCTAGCCCTCCTGCAGATCATTTTAATGCAATTTTATATATTTTCTTTAGGATGAAAGTGTTTGAGTGTAATGTTATTTCTCATAAAATTGGTGCTATTCATAGGGAATCCTTATCCAGAAACAGTGAAGTTTGCAGGAAGAATGATGAGGTGAATGTGAGTGACATAGTTTTAGAATCCCTGTTAAGTCCACACCTCCTGATTTCCTGTTTTCTTTTTTCTTTGTCCAGCATAATTACTTGAAAACCATAATGGGCCTCCAGCAGACACATAAAAAGTAGTCTTGTTGCCAGTAGCTTGAAGTTCCTTCAATTCCAACCTGCTTTAGTGGAGCTGCAAAACCATCTTCTGAGAGCTTCAACCACTTTGCTCCAAGTCTGTGACCCACCACAGAGAACACATAATGGCCTGCCTACTAGGAAGGGTATCGTCCAAAGGACAACCTGCTCAACTCCACAGAACCCTTTGGGTTTTAATTTACTGTCTTATATGCAGGAACAGGATAAAATTACTTTCTAGTTTGGACTTCTAATGCTCATTGAAGAAATTTGTTTTATTTCCTGTGTGAAAGGATATCTTCCCTCTGTACAGGTGGGCTTGGAACTGAGTGTACAGTAGGAAAGCAAAAACATAGCTCAGCCAGTTTTCTCCTGGTGGGATTTATCCCTCTGGTTAGCCCCTTTCCTTTACTGGATGGAGATCCTGGGGAAAGCTTGGCCTTGGTCTCATAGTTCCCTCAGACCATAAGTTCTATAAGGGCATCCTGTCTATGTTGTTGAGCCAGTGGATGCAGGGGGAGAGACCCTCCTTCCTTGGCAACCAGGAGAGAACCTGTTCTAGCCAGTGGTCCCAGGAAGGAATGAGGCAGATCTTGGTCCATGTGACTGGGAGTGAACAGCTCACTTCCAGTCACATGTGTGGGCTAGGTGTCAAGGTCTCTCTCTGTCCCCCTGTAACCCAGATAAATACAAGTAAAAGTGGCCAGGATTCCCTGGATAGAAACAGGGATCATCACACTGGCAGGGCTGAATAGGAAAGAAAAGACATTACTGTCCAGTCCAGTTCTCAGGTATGGCTGGTACCCCTCATTATATTTCCAAAGAGTTCTTTGCTCAGAGGAAAAATTGAGACTCAGGGTGTCTCAGGGCTTCCAGGATGGCTGATGCACCTCTGGGCTGGGAAATTCTCAATGGAATAAGAAGTTTTAGCTTCTTGGAATCTTTCCTCTTACATCCACTTCTGTTCTTGTGGCTCAAGGGCTCAGCATTTGAGTATACTCTGAGTGCTTCCTGAATACCCCTTGGTGCTGCTATGACTGGGGCCAACAATGGGAGAGGAGGATCTGGTCACCTGTGAGGACATGAGAGATGACGTCTGGTGGGTGGTATCTGGCTCTAGGGCCACTTTTTATGAGGAAAGAAGGAGTGAACCGAGTCTTCTTACCTGAAAGAGAGAAATGTGACAGCATCCCAGGGGGTGTGCCAGGTACAAGGGAAGCAAGGGGATTTGATTTGTGTGGTCTCCAAATGTAGAATGGAGGCATAGGAGCAGACATTTCACCAAAAGGTAGAAATGGCTGAAAGGCAGATTGTCATCTCAAGATAAGAAGAGGCTTAAAGTGACAGCAGTCCTGGCATGAAGTGAAAGCCCACAGTAGTGGGCCATCTGGCGAGGGGGCTGTTTGTGGTGGGAGGTTCAGCTGAATGGCATCTACCATCTGACCCTACCATTCTGCTCTTCAGCCCATCCAGCAAAGGATGTGGGTTTTGTTAAAAAGAAAGCAGAAAGTCTTTCTTTGAGATCCCTGCACTCTTTCCCACTCACTTTCTCTTTCACTGAAGGATAATGAGTCCTGAAAAAGGTTTCAGAGATTCTGGGCAGAGGATTCTAATTCCTTCCCTTCCTGGCTGTCCTTACCATTACAAGGACTTATTTGGGGTTTCTAGATCTTTGGGGGCTTCTCAGGAAATGGGACATAGTAAAAAGGGGATACATCTTGTTGAGGCCATGGGAAGCAGATGTTTGTGGTATTTCTGATCTCTCTTCCCTTCACTTCCTATAAGTGGATGGAATGGCCTGGTCCTGCTAGACCTCCTGTCCACCAGAACCCTTGGACAGCCAGCCCTGAAGTTCTTTGGCCAGGTCAGTTTGGGTCTTTGTAATGGCAATTGATCCTGGATGGTGAAACATTTGTTTCTAATTCTTTTATCACATAGGCCTCTTTGGTCAGTACTGGCACAACTGAAGCAAATAATCATCAGGGCAGGCACAATCATAGGAATAAAATTGATGGTACCCAATAGATTACCATCCTAAAAACTCTCAAGAGAAGCCAATGCTTACAATATGACAAGAAGGTGGGGGGCATTATGTGAATGAAATGGGCCTGTCACATGGGCATATCATTCCAGAAAATAGTTCCTCCTAAGTTCATATGACCATCCAAATCAACCGTGATTTCCAGTTCTATCAATGAGATACCTGAGATAACTTGAACATATTTCTTCTGCAAACAGAGAGGCTGGCTAAAATATAACATTTTTTGAAATGCAAAATTAATTTGCAGTAAAGAAGGAACTGCCAGGAGCTGGAGAAAAGGAAACTGAAAACTAAAATGGTAAGGACTGGGATAAAGTGTGTGAATGTATTGTTGGACTTGAGAATTAATGTCCAAGCAAGTATGAGAAATAAGACATTGATCCATGCCAGATAGGAAGTTGGAAATCAGACTCCCTGCATAAAGATGGTACCCTAAAGACTTCATCCTTATGAAGAGTTAATCTATAAAAAGTTCCCTCACTGGTACAGAGAAAAGGGAATTTTTACAGAAATGCAAGGGAACAAGTTCCGTGAGAGTATGCAACCATGATTTGAGATTCAAACTTACACTGTGTGGGCCACAAACCACCAGGCTGAGGAATTAGCATGAAAATTATCCCCAGGCTAGGGATAACCCTGAAATACTTAGAAGAACCAAATTAAAAAATCTACTGTATATGCCCTTTCCTGAGCCATACAGCATTCCCACAGACAAAGCTCTAGTTTCACTGTGGCATGGTGGTACACACCTGTAATTCCAGATACTTAGGAGGTTGAAGCAGAAAGATAACAACTTCCAGGTAAGCCTGGGATACTTGAAATAAAATTGGGCTTCTGGTATAGCTTAGTGGTAGAGTGCTTGGCTAGTATGCACAAAGCCCTGGGTCCAATCCCAGGAGTGGGGAATGAACATATATGTATAAAAGCTTCAAAGAATAAACACACAGAGAAACAAACTACCATGTTGGAGGCACATTGAAAGTAGTGTCAGTCTTCACGTAAATTACTGGGAAAAGATAATATATGTATGTATTAGATGTTTTAAATAAAGTAAAAAGAAAAAAGGCTAAAAAATTCTGATTTTTTTAAAAAAGCAGAAATACTAAGAATGAAAAAATGGCCTATAAGTTAAAATGACACACTAGAAACAGTAAAAGAGAGAATTAGTATCCTGGAAGCTAGATCTGAGGAAATTGCTGAGAAATCGGCATAGTGGGACAGAGTAGTGGAAAATTGAAAGTGTAGATAAGAGATATAGGTGGACAGAGGGAGAAGATCCAGTATATAGTGACAATAGACCACTCAGTGATCTCATCCAGTCTTATGGCTTTAAACATCTCTATTCCAACTCTAAATTTTATATATCTGGTCTAGACCACACTCCTAAACTCCAAATTTATATAGCCAACTGCTAACTTGATATTCCCACTTGAATGTGTAATGGACATCTACAAATCAGTGTGTCCAAACATGCATGAATGCCTGGGGTGTGGCTCAATGGTACTTTTTTAGAGTGGTACATTCTAGAGTACTTTTCTAGAATGCACAAGGTCTTGGATTTGATCCCCAGCACTGCAATAAATAATCCAGAATGCGTAATTGGCCCCCTAAACATATTCTACCTATAAAACCCTTATCTCAGGTCAGTTACTTAGGCTAAAATCATTAATTTTGTACTTCACTTCCCTCTTTCTCTCACACTCCACATTGAATGTGTCAAGAAATTCAACAGACTTTACCTTGTTGCTACATTCAAAAGCTAACCACTTACCACTTCTGACCTACCTGATCTAGGCCTTTATCATATCTTGCATCAGTTTCCTGTCTTCCAGCTTCCAGAGCAGCAGCCTGGTTGATCCTTTTGAAATATGTTAGATCATATCACACTTCTCAAACTTTTAATGACTCCCAATTAAAAAAAATTATTTTTTTAGTTATAGTTGGACACAATACCTTTTATTTATTTTTATGTGGTGCTGAGGATTGAACCCAGGGCCTTGCACATGCTAGATGTACCACTGAGCCACAACCCAGCCCCATGACTCCTTATTTCTGTCATGGTAAAAGCCATGTTCCTTTTTTAAAAAATATATTTTTTAGGTGGTGCTGAGGATCGAACTCAGGGCCTCACCCGTGCTAGGCAAGCACTCTACAGCTGAGCCACAACCCCAACCCCGACCCCCAGCCATGTTCTTAAAATAGCTCACAAAGCCCTACATTATCTTGCCTGCTATGACTCTCTGCCATCATCTTTTCTACTCTCTATCTTGCTCACTTTATTCTAGTCACATTGGCCTCCTCTCTGTTCCTCAGACTGCCAGGCAGCTTCTGCCTCAAAGCCTTTATATAGATATTCTCTCTTCCTGAAACATTCTACCTCTAGATAGCCATGTGATGCACTGTCTCACTTCAAGTGTTTGCCTACATGTCACCTTTTGTAGCAGATGCTATCATGCCTTGACCACAATCCCTTATGTTTGCCATGTCTGCTAAAGGTTTCCTACTGAAAGCATATACAATTTTCTATAAAAAGGTTTTCTAAACATGAGTGCTCACTTGCTTCAGGGTAGGCCCAAATATCAGGAAGTTAACACCATTTGGAGCACCCTTCAACCACTAACCCTTGCTTAGGAGTCAATGGAGGAGTCCCCCTACCTCCTGTCCCCTTGGGTGGGCCAACTCTGAGGCATTTCTCCAGTATTTCCCAGGACTTTACAGTATAAATCCAAACTCACACACAAATAGAGCCAAAGGAAAAAATAGTTGATATATTGTTAGTAGGATTGTCAAGGAAATAACATCTTAAAATATTTAAAAATAGTCATTTTAAAATGTTATATTATCATTAATAATATGTTTCATAATCATACAGTGGAAAGGATAAGGTTGACAGAGTATGGCACCCAAGGTTTCTTTCTAAAGGTCTGATGTTCAAGGTGACATGAATTCTGGAGAGATTTCCCTCTGTTCTACTATCTAAAATTCTTGAGATATTAAGGTGGGACATGAATTCTGGAGAGCCCCTCTCTGTTCCACTGTCTTTAATCTAAAGGGCTCAGATAACTCTGTTGCTATTTCTTCCATCATCAAATGGAGGTTCCAATCCACCAGCTGGACCTAGAGAGTATTACTGTGAACTTGACTTGTAGTCATTGTACCATAATTTTCTGAAGCATTACAAAATTGGGGTAGAGTATGGGCTTTGGGAC